AGAATTTCATAAGGACCCAGAATATATATACTTTGTTGGGTCTCAGATGACTATTTCTTGGTGTTACACACGGAATGACAAACTTATATAAACCCTCTATCACCACTGATGGTGGTGGAGGGTATCTATACACAGAACATACTCATGTCGATTTAAATAATAAATTATGTGGCATTAAGTGGTTTTCAGAAGTGAACCTTATATGGGAGCTAGATATGGACCGATGCTGAAAAAATTCCTTATATGGAATGTAACCAATTATGGACCGATGTGGAAAATGTTCACGGATGATTATACACAAAACAAATTCACGTCGAGTTTTACCCTGATAGCTTTATTTATCAATAATTATGCGCATTTGAGTGATTTTAGGATGTGGACCTTATATGGGAGCTAGTATTAATTGTGGACTGATCCGGAAAAAATTTCACTAATTGATTTATATCTATATACAGAACATATTCACCTCGAGTTCTACCCTGATAACTTTATTAATCAATGAATTATGCGCATTTGAGTGATTTTAGGATGTGGACCTTATATGGGAGCTATGACCGATTATGGACCGATCCGGAACAAATTTCGCAGAGTAATTCATATACACACAAAACACATTCATGTCGAATTTTATCCAGGTAGCTTTATTTATCTATGAATTAATCTCGTTTAAGTGATTTTCGGATGTGAACCTTATATGGGAGCTATGACCAATTATGGACCGATCCGGAAAAAAATTCCGTAGAATGATTTATGTATATACATTTATGAATATGTATTCATGAATATGTATTCATGTCGAATTTTATCCCGATAGCTTTATTTATCAATAAAATATGTTCATTTAAGTTATTTTCGAAAGTGGACCTTATATGGGAGCTATGACCGATTATGGACCGATCCGGAACAAATTTCGTAGAGTAATTCATATACACACAAAACACATTCATGTCGAATTTTATCCAGATAGCTTTATTTATCTATGAATTAAGCTCGTTTAAGTGATTTTCGGATGTGAACCTTATATGGGAGCTATGACCAATTATGGACCGATCCGGAAAAAAATTCCGTAGAATGATTTATGTATATACATGTATGAATATGTATTCATGAATATGTATTCATGTCGAATTTTATCCCGATAGCTTTATTTATCAATAAAATATGTTCATTTAAGTAATTTTCGAAAGTGGACCTTATATGGGAGCTATGACCGATTATGGACCGATCCGGAACAAATTTCGTAGAGTAATTCATATACACACAAAACACATTCATGTCGAATTTTATCCAGATAGCTTTATTTATCTATGATTTAAGCTCATTTAAGTGATTTTCGGATGTGAACCTTATATGGGAGCTATGACCAATTATGGACCGATCCGGGAAAAAATTCCTTAGAACGATTTGTGTATATACAAAACATATTCATGTCGAATTTTATCCCGATAGCTTTATTTATCAATAAAATATGTTCATTTAAGTGATTTTCGAAAGTAGACCTTATATTGGAACTATGACCAATTGTGGACTGATACAGATCTCCGTAGTTTACAGTCCGTAGTTTTGATTCCTGTTCATATAATGTCAATATGTACAAAATTTTGTGTTGATACCGATATATTTGAGGATGTTATTAACGATAATTTAATTTCCGGGAATATGTACCTTTGTATGGGGGCTATGGGAAATTTTGGATCGATTATTACAATTTTAAACATAATTAATCTATAGATGAAAAAAATAATCTGTGACAAAATTTGTCGAATTATCTTTGGTAGTTTCTGAGAAAACTACTCAAGAATTAGGGAAAAAAACCTAATTTTTTTTAGGTAGTCTGAAATTTTACTCATAATTTTTTACGTTGTGAACCGATTTTGCTGATTTTCAATACCAAACTGATTAGGAAAACAATGAATATTCTCAGTGAATTTGGTTGATTTCATTTGCTTAGTTTTAACGTAAGCGTGTTTTAACCAGACAGACGGACAGACGGACATAGCTAAATCGACTCAGAATTTCATAAGGACCCAGAATATATATACATTGTTGGGTCTCAGATTAATATTTTTTGGTGTTACAAACGGAATGACAAACTTATATATACCCTCTATCACCACTGATGGTGGTGGAGGGTATAAAAATGTTACATATTTATGCAAATATATAAAAATTCCTTATAGTTAATAAATATGAAATAATTTTATAATATAACTTCTCACGATCTTTATTTATATAAAATTTTGGAAAAAATTTTATTTAAAAACATGGTCCCCTTCAGAAAAACACTTAAAGGCACACAACTCATTACCAAATAGTGATATTCATAAAAAATTTTGTCATAAATACTATTTTTGTACACAGAAATATAATTTCAAAATTTTTTCACGATCGGTTCATATTTGGTCATAGCTGCCATACAAGGTTCCCTCCCAAAAATCAGTTAAACGCACATAACTCATTACCAAATATTGATATACATACATACATTTAGCACAAATATTGCTCTTATATACATAAATCACACTATAAAATTTTTTCACGATCGGTCCATATTCATAATATGTGTGCGATCGGTCCCATACAAGGTTCCCTTCCGAAAATCACTTAAACACACATTACTTATTACTAAATTACGATATAGATACAAAATTTGACTGAACTATAGCTTTTTTATACAGAAATGTTACTTAAAGATTTTTTAAGATCGGTCCATAATTGGTCATATCTCCCATACTGTCCTGCCCCGAAAATTTTGATTTCCTTAAATCTTTCACACAAATTATTAAATATCGCTAAAGCATATCTTAGGGCGCTTTAAAAATATAAAAGAAAATGGCGTTTGTAATGTTCAAATCTTGCAATTGTAACAGATTTAAGCTGTTTAAATCTTGAGGTTTTTCTATTTAAGACATAAGAAAACTTATTTCTACAAATATTTGATCAATTAAAAAAGTATTAATATAAAAGTAGCTGGTGGAGGGTATTTAAGATTCAGTTCAGCCGAATATAGCACTCTAGCTTGTTTTAAAATATCTTTATTTCTTAATTGGTTATTTGCATTTAAGTAATTTGCTGAAGTTGGCCTAACACGGGAGCTGTGACCAATTATGGGCCGAGCCGGAAAAAATTTCGCAGGGTGTTTTATATCTACTTTAAACACATTCATGATGAATTTTATACCGATATCTTCATTCAGTTATGTAATATGTGCGATTACGTGGTTATCGGAAATGGGCCTTATATGGGAGCTATGCCCAATTATGGACCAATCCGACAAATATTTTGAAACGCGATATATGTATACACAAAACATATTTATGTTAAATGTTATTCCAATATCCTTCTTTCTTATTTAGTTATTTGTATTTAAGTATTTTTCGAAAGTGGACCATATATGGGAGCTGTGACCAATAATCGACCTATACAGATCTACGTTGGTAATACGATTTCTGTTCTTATTATATACATATGTCCAAAATTCGTGGTGATACCGATATTTTTGCCGAAGTTATTAACGATAAATCTATTTCCGAGAATATGTACCTTTGTATGGGGGCTATGAGGAAGTTTGAATTGTTTTGAGTTTGAACATTTTTGATCCCTGGGTAAAGAAAATAAGATGTGACAAAATTCATTCCATTATCTTTAGTAGTTTCTGAGAAAACTACTCAAGAATTAGGAAAAAAACTTAGTCTGAAATTTTTACTCATAACTTTTTACGTTGTAGACCGATTAGGACAATAGTAAATATTTTCAGTGAATTTGGCTGATTTATTTTGCTTAGTTTTAACGTGAGAGTGTTTGAGGCTGACAGACGGACACGGCTTAATCGACTCAGAATTTCATAAGTATCCAGAATATATATACTTTGTTGGGTCTCAGATGAATATTTCTTGGTGTTACACACGGAATGACAAACTTATATATACCCTCTATCACCACCGATAGTGGTGGAGGGTATAAAAATTGTTTGATTGCCTACAGCGATGTTAATTTTGTAGTAAACAAAAAAATATTTTTACCCTTAAGCACAATGGGAACATGGTAAGTATAATAGCAGCACAAATTTTGTTTTGAAATCACTAATTTTTGTGGCTGGTGGGTGCATACTTACATGAGCCAAATTTTATTTAACACGCTTACCCAGTTAGTACTACATTAAAAAAAAATAAACGAATTTTTCGCGATTAAAAAAATCCGAAGTTATTAACTTTGAGGGACTACCCTCTGCCACTCATTCCGCTCACGATCACCTACAATCGGCACCTCATCTCCAAAAATGTGAAATTTCATTGCGATAGTGCAATAGTTCCAGAGAAACCTAATTATTTCCAAAAATAAAGATTTCTAAACATTATGTGTGGCCCTACCCCAATAAACATGTATATCATAACAAGTTTTTATATAATGGACTCGGATTGAATATTTGTAGTCAAAAACTGCAAGAAATATGTCTTGCAAAATTTTTCAGCAGGCAGCTAAACAAAAAATATGTTTTTGAAGTTAATGAAGAGCAACTTCTAATGACCGATAACACAAATGTTTTACCTATCAACGCCGAACAGAGTGGGGGTTTTAATACTCTAACCTAGTACTTCAAGCTATCATGAGAATTTTTCACCCCCATTTCATGACACTCAATTTATTGCATAGTGTTATAATTTTAGGAATCATATTTATTGTTATGAGAACTATGTATATTATGTTGTTCTGCAGATAGCTAAACAGAAAATATATTTTTGAAGTGAATTCTGAAAATATTTTAAAGTTTTAATTTACTTAGTGTTAAAAAGCGCAACTTTCAATGATCGATAATATAAAATATTGACCTAACAACGCCGAACGCTCTAACCTAGTACTTTAAACTATCATGTGAATTTTTTACACAATTACTGCGTAATTAGTATAATTGGATTATAAGTTTAACATGAACAGAGGGACTGAACTATATTCGTAATAAAACTATATTTTGTAAATTTTAACATTTTTTATTATTTCTATTTATTTTTATTAATTTATACAATTTTATACTACTATTAGTTATTAATTATTTATACATAATATTATTTCCTACATATTTTTACTAAATAATACGTTAATATATAAAAATAGTATGAAGATGATACCCAAGCAACCATCAACTGCAAAGAATAAGCAAGAAAATAAAACATATTATTAGTGAGAATTTGGTTTATAAACGAAATAACAATATATACTTTGTAATTAATTATATTTGTCGTTCCTTTTAATTTGATGGGATCCTAAAATACATATCATCATATTGCCGCCTTTGCATGAATCTTCTGTAGCATTCCAAAGATGCTTCTGTAAATGTAATGTAAAGTTCTGAAAAATAAAAATATTAACATATTTATTTTTGAGGGAAAACACAGAATTATTCATTGCATTTTAAAACTAAAAACTGTGATACACGGTTGTCAGATGTTACACAGAAAAAAATTCGTAGGTAATACTAACTAAAATTAGAAAATTTACCTCCATTTTCACCAAAATTGATTTTATAAATTTAACTGAAAAAATTACTAACTGCCAGTTTGGCCAACGGAAAATATTTAATTGTAAGTTAAACTTTTCGTTTCCACCATCCTTCAGTTAGATAACATGAAAATAACACGGTGTGACAAAATTACAAAAAATCAATACACTTATCGCGAGACCTAGTGAAGTTGGTAGGTCTAGTAGAGTAGATTACAGTACCATTTTTAGAATCTTCAATATACTGTTATGGATACACAATCCATGCACAGTAGTAAACACCCGTTCGCTTGTTGATTTGTATGTATTGTTGTTATAATACATAAATACATTGTCAGCATAAATAAATTCAAATATGAAAACAACTCATATTTCTTTTCAAATGTAAAGCTGCTGACTGAATGTCTGTCAGATTTTTAGTTGATAAACAAAACGATATAATTTATGTTAGTTGTTTAAGAACATCACGACAATAAAGTCGAAAAAAAAATATATAAAGAAACGGTTTTTATTTAATTGGCGCAGTCGGTAGGATACTCGGGTATCCTTGTGTATAATTTGTATATATAAGCGCAAATTATATATGCTGAGAAGCAAGCGATATTAAGTGTTTCAACATTTTTCACCGAGTATTCGAAAAAAAAAAACAAGTAAGAAAGTATAGTCGGGCGTGGCCGACCATATGATACCCTACACCAGTTATGAATATTAAATGTGATTTATTTTTCATAATATCGCATTTATCTTCAATATTCCCTTGTTCCGATACATTTAAGCAATTTATGGATGAAAAACTAATTTTCTGAAAGAGGCTTTATATGGGGGCTAGGGGCAACTATGGACCAAGCCCGATAAAATTTTGTGAATATATTTATATTTACATAATATTTTATTGTGCTGAATTTCATCGCGATATTTGTGTTTATAAGTTAATTTGGGACATTCAAGTAATTTTCTGAAGGGGACTTTGTATGGGAGCTAGGTTAGGTTAGGTTTACACAGGTAGCCAATTTCGGCTTTACTTGGGTCCATGTTGATCCCTTTGTAAAAATACCTGTAAGAAGAAGAAAAGAAAAGAGAGGGAGAGATAGAGGAGAGTGAAAGAACAGAGACATTTGCAGAGAGAAGAAGATGATGAGAAATGAGAAAGCCAGGGCAGCTGCCGTGGATGAGTAGTGTGAGTAATAGGATTCACACCCATTTTGACAAATTAATGAACTCTAGAAGACGTTCTAATTGAATGTTTGACAATTCGGTTAGATCACCAAAATAGGTCGATCCAAGCGTCTGAAAACGGGCCTCCGCCAAAGCAGGACAATCGCAGAGAAGATGAGTAATAGTCTCTTCTTCATCCTCATTTTGACAACTCCTACAGTAGTCGTTGAACGGGAGACCAATGCGTCTAGCATGGTTCCCAAATTTACAGTGGCCAGTGATTATTGATATCAGCCTACTTAACTGCGGTCTTTGGAGACCAAGAAGATATTTAGACCTTTGAGGATCCATTTGTGGCCACAGTGCTCTACATGTTGAGCACGTGTGTTCACGCGACCATTTGTCGCGAGCGATGCAGAGGCATTTTTCACTGATTTGCCTCTTAACTGCAAGTAGTGGTATACCGCAGAACTGATCAATATCCATTCTGCTAAGCATAGTGCCAGCTCTTGCCAATGTGTCAGCAATACCGTTGCCATACGAATTCCCATGTCCCTTTACCCAGATTAGGGTGATGTTCGAATGTCTCGCCATCTCATTGAGAGACGTCCGGCATTCATGGACAATTTTGGATGTGGAGAACACACCAGTTAGGGATTTAATAGCAGCTTGACTATCAGTATAAATTCTGATATCCCTATTAGATATCCGATAGTACCTTAGCCAATTTACCGCCCTCCTTATCGCCGATATTTCAGCCTGAAGGATACTACATTCATCATTAAGTCGAAAGGAGATTTTCGTTCCAAATTCCTCAATGAAAATGCCACCACCAACTCCTTTCGTCGTCTTGGATCCGTCTGTATACACTCGGAAGCAATTATTCGGCGGAAGGAGAGATTCCTCATACTCCGAAGATATATGATATTGGAACTTTCTCACTAGAGATGGTACTGGAATACAATAATCAACAATGTACTGATTATCCGGTATAAGATCTATGATCCTAGCATGGCCTATGGAGCATTGTTTCCATTTGCCAGTTACACTCAATCTGGGCGCAGTTGACATAGCCAATTTCCTTGCAAGGAGATCGACCGAGAGCCAGTTGAGCATAGTGAACAGCGCCTTCGAAGGAGTTGTTCTGAGAGCGCCTGTTATAAGAAGCGCAGTTGATCTCATTACTTTTTCCAGTTGTTGTCTGAGTGAAGCCTTTTCAAGCGCGTGCCACCATACAACAACCCCATATAGCATAATAGGTTTAATAACTGCCTCAAAGAGCCAGTGAACATTCTTTGGATTTATGCCCCAGCATGTTCCTATAGCCTTCCTACAAACATATAGTGCCGTAATGGCTTTAGATGCCCTAGAGAGTACATTTGTACTCCAAGATAGTCTCTTATCTAGGATAACGCCAAGATATTTAGCGCTGTCCGAGAGTTTTAATACTTCGCCGTTAAGGCAAGGAAGAGGAAATAAAGGAATCTTGTATTTGCTAGAGAATAGCACAAGTTCCGTTTTACTAGGATTTACACTAAGACCACATTCGACACTCCACGAGCTAATGATCTTTAGTGCTTGTTCTAGCCTTTGGGATATGGTTTCAAGGTGATCGCCTGATACCGCAACCGCGACGTCATCAGCATAGGCGACTGTTTTATAGCCAAGAGAGTCAAGTTTTACCAGAATATCATTTATGGCCATGTTCCATAAGAGTGGTGATAGTACTCCCCCTTGTGGAGTACCTCTTAAAGCTTTACTAGAGATTACTGTATCTCCTAAGGAGGATTCAATGATCCTATTTGAGAGAAGACTCTCGACAAATCCCACAACTGACCTACCAAACCCAGCCCCAGATAGAGATTGGCAGATAGATGCAGGATTGACGTTATTAAAAGCGCCTTCTATATCAAGAAAGGCAACCAGTGAATAATTTCCATACCTCATGGATTTTTCAATATGACCAACGAGAGTATGAAGAGCCGTCTCAACAGATTTGCCCTTCGTGTATGCATGTTGAGAGGCAGAGAGAAAGGATTTATCTATCGAGGTCCTAATGTGGATATCGATTATCCTTTCCAATGTTTTCAGCATAAATGATGCCAGACATATTGGTCTGTAATCTTTTGCCTTAGTGTGTGAAGTTTTTCCCCCCTTGGGAATAAAAATCACATTACACTTGGTCCATTGAGTAGGAATGTATGACCAAGAGAGACAGGCTGTGTATAAGTTCCGCAGCCAAGGAACTACAAGATCTATATTGTGTTGAAGATCTGCAGGAATAATACCATCAGGGCCGGGCGCTTTGTAAGGATCAAAGCTTTTAATTGCCCAACGGATAATGTCATCTTCAATAGGCACGTGTGTTACAGTCCGCATTGAAGTTGGAGAGAAATTAGTCAAATCACTAATTGGAATACAACCAGGAAAGTGAGTACTAAGGAGAAGCTCTAAAGTCTCCTGACTACCTGAAGTCCAGCTCCCATCCATTTTCTGTATATAGCTAGGAACAGAAGGGGACTTTGACAAAATTTTACGGAGACGACTGGTTTCGGAAGAGCTTTCAATATTGCTACAGAAAACCCTCCACGAGTTCCGCTTCGCATTCCGAACCAGATTTTTAAACTTATTAACGTTTGCCTTATAAAGGGACCAGTTACCTGATCTCTTAGCCTCGTTAAAAGAACGGCGGCATGTCCTTCTCATGCTCGCTATGTCAGGACTCCACCACGGTGGTTTGTCCTTTTTTAGGCCACTGGATAATTTACAAGATCTCTTCGTGGCAACGCTCAGAGAACTAGCAATCCAATTTGCAGCCAAATCAATATCCCTTATGCTCTCTACCGTCGGAGCAGAGGGAAGAATAGTACTCAGAGAAGCTTTGTGCCTCTCCCAATTTGTTTTCCTTCTATTTAGAAAGGGTTTTGAAACTTTGACCTGGACCACTATGTCAAAGTCCAGGTAGCGGTGATCAGAGAAGGAGCAGTCATTGGAGACATTCCAATCTTTGATCAATTCTATGTAGTTTGTACTAATAGCTGTAATATCCAGAACTTCCTTTCTGTTTGTCACAACAAAAGTAGGTTCTGAACCTCTATTAACGACTGTCATATTAATTTCTAATAAAAAGTCAAGTAAACACTCACCTCTACTGTTGGTGTCTGAACTGCCCCAGACACTGTGATGAGCATTTGCATCAGCGCCAATTATCACAGGAACGTGACGCCTATTTGCTTCGCGCATTAGATCTCTGACCAGGTCGTTTGGCGGTTGTTCACCATGGTCATGCGCCATATAGCAGCTAAGGAGCCAGATGGTGGAGTTTCCGGTCTCAAGTGCCGCCGCTACCGTATCCTCATCGCTGTAATCAGATAAGATGAAGATATCTAAATGGTTTTTGGCCAGAATACAGGCTCTAATATTTTTAATATTACCTGCAGGATTTGAAAACAGAAGTTTGTAACCTCTGAGAGATAGTCCAAGGATTTTGCCGTGGTGGGTCCACGGTTCTTGGACCAAGATGAGCTCCTCCCCTCTCTCAGCCATCCGGAGGAGCAAAGCAGCTGATGCTGCTTTGGAGTGGTGAAGGTTAATCTGGGTTACCTTCACCATCTCCGAGATCAGGATCGTACACGACAGTGACGTCGACGTCCTCAGGATCGGAATCCTGCGAACTGTCTCCATCCTCCGCTAACTTCAGATTGCCAAGAAGCTCACCCATTATACCTGTGGTAGACTGGGAGTCTTCTTGGTTCTCAGAACCAGCGGGATCGTCGGCCTTTCCATTATCCTCCTTGGACGGAGCCTCCGGCTTAGTACCAGAGGCGGCGGCGCTGCGTTTGGCGTCACTGCGATAAATGCGAAGGGAGATACTATCAAAACCATAGTAAACTTTACCTCCGCATTCACGCAATGGCGCCAACGTTTCCTTATTAAGGACAACAGTCGCCTTTCTGACATTTCCCATCGGGGCGGAAACCTTCACCACCTTCCAATCATGGGTAGGTAGATGAGGATTTCCGCTTTGTAGGAAAGCCAAATTTCCGCCGGGTCATGTGGCTCAGTTGGGATGGTGGCAATTGATCTCGGCCTGCGTGGAATTTCGCTAACCGGGATCACGTCCAACCTTGCACCTGGCCACACTTCCCCAAGGGATTGAATAGCTAGCTTGAGCAGAAGCGCAGAGCGCTCATTTGAACAAGCTAGCAGCTTAATGTGACCCTGGTACCAACCAGCATCATCGTTTTGGGGGGCGGGTCCTGGATTCTCCTTGAGGATCTTCCAGTACACGCCTAGCATCTTCTGACGGATAGTCCCCCATTTTTCCTGGGAGATGGCTCCGTCGCTGTTGCTTTGGTCAACAATAGCCCTTACCAGTGGGTTTCTAGCCACCTCACTGAAAGGTCTATTGATGACAATGGTTTGCGCCTGTTTTTGACGTTTAGTCGGCTGGTCGTTCGGCATAGAAGTAAGGGTCTCCTCCTCAGATCGTTGCCGTTTAGGCGCCTCGGCAGCAGGTCTAACCACTTCTGCCTCAGCTGGAGGATCGGAGCCCTTTAGCCTAGCCAGGAGGCTTTTCGCCCAATCGAGGGACGATTTCTCGTCTCTCGTTAAAGCATCGTTGGGTTTGGCGCCATGACGCTCAACGATGCGCTCGGCGGCCCGCCGATGAACAAAAGCCCTTCTGGAAGGTGTTTTGTGCCTGGGGGAAGACTCTAGGGATACATTGGAAGAGCCCGACAACGAGTTCGACGACTTTTCCAATGTAGGGGGAGGTGCAGCAGAGGAATCCGACATCGGGGTCGACGATTCCACATTCGCACAGGGCACTTGGGAGACCTTGTTGTCACCCGAAGATAGGGATTGAGCTGACTTTGAATCAGCAAGGGCTGCTTTTGCGGCTGCAGAGGTACTCGCCACGACAGGCAGAGGTACCTCACCGCTGGGACCTTTACCCACACCCGAAGGCTTAGTGGGCGGTTTTGGTTTACAAGCAGCCAGCTTGGGCCGGCTACTTGCGGTTGTTGTTGTTGTTGCTCCAGAAGCTCGCGGAGTAGTCAAGCCTGGTGCTACCACCTGACTAGTCCGGACGCCAGTCGCATTCGATTCACCACAGCCCGGTGTCGCCGCTGTGGGAATAGGGTCTCCGGATATTATCAAGCCCCGGACCGGATACGAGGGGCATTCTTTTTTCTCTGACATTCTTGGGGGGGGGGGTGGGTTTTGTTGCATTTTTGGCCTACTGCCAGGACTATAAACTGCCGTCCCACTGGGAGCAAACAGACCATCAAGCCGTCCAATCTGGAACAGACGCTTGATGGATTTCAGGACTTGCACACTTAAGTGCGTGAATCAAATGATTCAAAACGGACTTTCTGTTGATTGCCCTGTCTCAGTGACAGGAGAAGCAAATCAACAGATCGTTACTAACAGACCGCCCAATGTGGGAAACAGACATCTGTTAGGTGGGAGGGGTAGTTCTTAGTTTCGTGCTCGTCTCATGACCCGTCTGACAAGGGTGACCCCTAGGAGGCAGCCAGCTCAAGCAAAGCTGTCTCCGTCAGCATGGCCCATGAGATTCATCGCACTTAAGCCTTCACATCGCGACAAGATGACTACCCTTCGTGAAGGAGCTAGGGTCAAATGGGGCCCGATCTTTATGAAATTTGGCAGGGTTATCAAGAATTCTATAAAACTTAGTTGTGCCGTATTTTATCGATATATCTGTATATTTAACATAATTAATAGCTTAGAAGCCCTTTTCGGGGGGTTCTGTTCTATGGGGGCTAGGTGAAATAATGGACCGATTTTAACCATTTGCAATAGGCTTCGTTCTTGGGTCAAATAAAACGTGCGTGCCAAATTTCATCCAATTATCTTGAAAATTGCGACCTGTACCTTGCGCACAAAGTTTACATGGACAGCCAGCCAGCCAGACGGACGGACATAGCTCAGAAAACGATTCTAAGTCGATTGGTATACTTTAAGGTGGGTCTATGATGTTACAAACATCAGCACAAATTCAATATACCCTCCCCACTAAAGTGGTGTATATATATATATATAAAGAACCGTTTTCACACGGATTCTGTTTTACGTGTTCCTTTAAAGTTGTGAAAACATGGCGATAAACCAACCGAACCCAATCCTAGCTGCAGCAGCACAACGACCAGGTATACGGACTCTAGATATTAATCCGCTAAAATATCTGGAAAAAATTCAAACCTTTGATGGAAGGAAGGATGATTTGTGCACTTTTTGCACCAACGTTGATGATATAATTCCTACCCTAATGTTGTATAATGAACAAGCACAAAGGATGTGCATCAACATAATAAAAAGCAAACTGATGGGTAAGCCTCGAAGAGCAATGGAAATACATCCACACTTAAATAACTGGAGTGAAATAAAGGCAATGTTGGAAACCAATTTCGGAGGTTTCTAAACAGCTGATCAATTATATGAAGAACTGCGAGCGGCGCAATACAGAGGAAGTACAATAAACTTCCACAACTACATACTACAAAAGTTGGAAATTTTGAACCAAAAAAGCAGACAAGAAGGAAATACATATGCAGGATGTTGAAAGGAACATACAAACTGCACTAAAGGTGTTCACAACAATTTTGCCCGTACACATGAGAACAGTTCTTTGTTCTCTAAAACCTCGAACCATGGAGGAAGCTACGCATGAGTTGGCAGAATCAGGGTTCTTGAATGAAGAAAAGGGCATCGATAAGAAGGAAGGAAGAAATAATTGGCAGCCTAAGACCAATTATAACAAACAACAGGACAACAAACAACACAACAACAGGCAACAAAACAATAGATGGCTACAAAATAATGATCAACATAACAAGTGGCAACCTAAGCTATACTTACCAACAACACAGCAACAACCGGAACCGATGGACGTTTCAACAAGTCAGACGGGAAGACAAAACCATCATGGTCAGCAGTCCAAAGAAGCGGAATGTAATTGTAAGTGTTTGAATTTTGATTATAAAAATTATGTTGGACAAGACAGACAGAGTTATGGATCTCATGAACCAGGAAATTTTCCTGTAATGGCCTCTCAGCTAAAAGACCCGGGAGACTCGGACTCCCATATCTCCTGTTTAGAGGAAAATCAAGGTCTTTGCGACTATTAATTGACACAGGATCGACCGAAAACTTTTTAAATTTTTACCATTGTCCCCCACAATTTATCAAAAGGTTGGAGAACCCCATATCGATTAAAACTGCATCAGGAATTTTTAATATTTCCCACGAGGGTATTATACCAAAAGACAGTATGCAAATACCATTAGTTTCAGATACCACTTTCGGTTTATACGAATTTCATGATTTTTTCCATGGACTTTTAGGACATTTGACTTTAAGATGTTTAAGTACAAACACTTAAAATGCTTAATTTATATAATTATTCCCTATTGAATAAGTTGGGTTCTTAGTGGGTTAATATTAATTTTAGGATCAATGTCTACTCCTCTAATTTTACACCTATGATTAGAAAGTGACGTTTATTCTAACGAGTAAACCGCTAACGGTTCCTTAAACATTGTTTGCCATCTACCTTTTACTTATTTTTAATGTACTCGTTACTTTACTTTGGTTTGATACATCAATCAACGCACTTCGTGTAAACCAAACTATATAAAACCCTTTGGACAAAGGTAATATTTATTAAATAAAATCAGAACCTTCTTCTGAAATTTAAAATTGACAAATCCTGTGATTTATTTTTTCTCCTCTTCCTCTGCATTAACGGCAAACATTGGTCCTTCGAACCGGATTCCTTTGGAGAAAAAATATTAAAGTGAATTTTCTTTGGTACTTCCAGGCCATTACAACATTCAACCATCTTTTTTGGTGCACACTCACAGCAACATCACTTTTAATTTATACATAAGATACCACTTCTAAATAAAATGTGCGTATAGTTCTTTTTTTGAGCTTTAAAGTGTGAATATATAGTGAATAAAACGGGTAAAACAATTTCTAAAAATATAAATAAAATTTAAATTAAAAAATTTATTTTGTGTAAAAAATATTTTTTTCATCTAAATCTATTGTGATTGATCGCGTTACAACCCTTCGCTACTTGATTATTAAAGTAATAAATTTGACACTTCTCTTTAACCTTTAATTCGCGATACGATTTTTATCTACGGTGTGTTTTGTTTACATGGACAGACATACCAAACATTATTTTTAAAATTTTTGGAAATATTTTATTTGTTTTATTTACTTAAATATAAATAAAACTCAAAAAAGATTCACAAAAGTCAAAAAAAAGAAAAATAATATTTAAACAAGTAAGAAAGTATAGTCGGGCGTGGCCGACCATATGATACCCTACACCAGTTATGAATATTAAATGTGATTTATTTTTCATAATAAAGCATTTATCTTCAATATTCCCTTCCGATACTTTTAAGCAATTTGTGGATGAAAAACTAATTTTCTGAAAGAGGCTTTATATGGGGGCTAGGGGCAAATATGGACCAAGCCCGATAAAATTTTGTGAATATATTTATATTTACATAATATTTGATTGTGCTGAATTTCATCGCGATATTTGTGTTTATAAGTTAATTTGGGACATTCAAGTAATTTTCTGAAGGGGACTTTGTATGGGAGCTAGGGTCAAATGGGGCCCGATCTTTATGAAATTTGGCAGGGTCATCAAGACTTCTATAAAACTTAGTTGTGCCGTATTTTATCGATATATCTGTATATTTAACATAACTATGAGCTCAGAAGCCCTTTTCGGGGGGTTCTGTTCTATGGGGGCTAGGTGAAATAATGGACCGATTTTAACCATTTTCAATAGGCTTCGTCCTTGGGTCAAATAAAACGTGCGTGCCAAATTTCATCCAATTATCTTGAATATTGCGACCTGTACCTTGCGCACAAGGTTTACATGGACAGCCAGCCAGCCAGACGGACGGACGGACATAGCTTAATCGACTCAGAAAACGATTCTAAGCCGATTGGTATACTTTAAGTT